AGATAAAAATAAAACATTAACTTTGAGACAACATCTCTATTAAAGTGCCTCTGAATTTAGACACTTTTAGACTTAATCTATTAAATAATATAGGAAGCAGAAATGCTTTTTTGCGGTAGTTGACAGTGACCTGTAGTGTGAGAGGGCTGAAACCTCACATTTTTGGTAGGTCAGAGGGCCTTCACCAATTAGCCTTTATGGTTTTAGCACTTAAGTTTTGGTCAACATTTTAACCTTTATGATCTGGTTTCTTTAGCCACACTTGAAGGCTTACTTACATGATTTCCTACACTGCTTTCTCCAGCCCAGGACGTGAAGTCATCGTGCAGGGTTTTATCTCGGGTGTCCTTGCATCTGACAGAGCCTAGCTCTGGAAAAACTAGCAAAGGCCCCTCGTTGGAGGCATGTGAAAGCCCCTCAGAAGGTCAGGAGTCTCTGACTTGCTTTTAAATTTTATGGCCTCTCTGTGTATAAAATAATAAGTGGACTAACTATTTGAGCTATGACAGCACAAGTTGCTTTTGGCATAGACTTAGATAGCCATGAAAAGTAGAAATTGTGCTGAATTAGGAGCCCAACCCTGGTTTCCAGGCCCGCTCTGCACCTTGAGTAGGTGGTACCTTCACCTTCCTGAGCCACATTGCCTCCCCACTAGATAACATAAAAAATAAACAAAACAATGTGTGTGAGCAGATTTTCTATACAGTAAGGCACTCTTTAAATTCTAGGTACTAGTGTTCTTATTACATTTAAGTAATATTTATTAGTTTCTTAAAAATAATTTATATTAGTATATTCTTCTTTGGGCGGGGGGCTTAATTTTTTTTATTGTTCAAGTATTACATATGTCTCCTCTTTCCCTGATTGACCCCCTCCCTCCCACTCCCCCCCCCTCCAGTACACCCTCCACCATCCCAGTGTCCATGTCCATTGGTTATGCTAATGTGCATGCATACAAGTCCTTTGGTTGATCTCTTAACCCTGCCTCACCTCCCCACTATACATACTTCTTAAAGGTTTATCACAAGTCTAGTTTTTATGTATTTGGTAGCAATTGTGTTATAATAGCTATGTTCTCTTATATTCATATTAGAGGCCCGATGCATGAAACTGGTGCAAGAGTAGGCCTTCCTTCCCCCGGCTGCCGGCACTGGCTTCCCTCTGGCACCTGGGACCTGGGCTGGCTTCCCTCCAGCTGCCAGCAGACACCTGGGACCTGGGCTTCCCTCGCAGCCCTGGCTTCGTCCATAAGGACGTCCGATCTAATTAGCATATTACACTTTTATTATTATAGATTTTTTTCTTAATAACCATTAAATTCTTATAAAGCTCTATCATAATATGGAATAAAAGACTCATGTTGTTAATTAGTTATAGACATGCTCAGCAATATAAAGCATGAGGCTTTGATGCAGGAGTAAAATTTAATTTTTAAAAATCCTTGAAAAGCTCTTGTCCACATCCAGCCATAATGTTTGCGTATGCGCATCATCTTAGTACCAATATGTCTCATAGGTGAGCTGTGTTTTCATGCCTTGGTGCTCTTCCAAATCCTCATAGAGGACATTGGTGTTGCAGTCATTTTTGGTAGTAAAATATTTTTGCATCTGAGTGTTATAATTCAATTTGTAAGCCACGACCCCTCATAAACTGCTTGTATTACTCTGATTAATAAAGAGCCAATTTTCCATTGCAGCTTCGTCACTTGGGGAATGACGAGGTCCACATCGTCTGGTCTGAACACTCCAGGGACTACCGCAGGGGCATTATCCCAACCGCCTTTGGAGACGTTTCAATCATTATTTACCCAATAAAGAATCACATGTTCTTTATCACGATAACGAAGAAACCAGAGGTACATTTTCACATTATTGACCCACTGTATTAACTGACTCATACAACGTTTGCCATATGATTCACTGTTATTAAAAAACAATGATACAAATATGTTAAAGGGTACTTTTTTCCAAAGTGTTAAATGGCTTACACGTATCTGAATTATAGATGCAATAAGAATCAAGTAAGAATTGGGATTTTCAAAGAATCTTTCATCATGAGCACAGAATTCCATATATTATTTACTTAGCCTGACTTTTTAAATGTTTTAAATGTATGATTTTAAAAATGTTTCAAATTTTATAATTAAAAAAAGTATACTTTTAAATTTGGGGCGTATTTGAATAATAATAAGAATTGAACAAACCCCATATCACATCTAGCCTTTGTGGATGGCTATGGTTGTAGAATTCACCCTCGCCTAATGGATGAGCACTGCTTGCCAAGCCTGGCTAACTGTTGCTAATAGGGGGGTCAATCCTAAAGGATTATGGGTATGTCCAGGAAGAGGCTGGCCTTCTGTAGCATGGCCCAGGTGATGACTTTTAGCCATTGAAGCACCTGCCACAGAATCATTCAGCCATGCCATATGGTACTGATCATGGGAAAGGCTGGAACCATTCAATGGTTGTGTGCAATGTACTAAATTGGCTGCAGTTTTGATCCTTGCCATGTCTTTAGTGGTACTTCAGCAGTGCTTTATATAGGGACTTGTATTTGTTTTAGAATTATTCATAGAAGGGTTTTTTAAGTGTATTAATTAAACATTTAGTGTATTAAGTCACTCCTCAAGAAAATGACTTGTACTTAAGCTTGATATTAAAAAAAATAATCTTAAATTACATTCTAAATTATTCTTCTAAAGGAGCTAAAGTTACCATTCTAAATACTCAGTGTTTTTAAGCTTTAAAATAATAGGTAACTGAGATTTACTGGGGTATATAACCTAATCTAAACTGTTAAAGTCGGGATAATTAAGTGAGCTAAAAAATGAAAGGTGCTTCAAACAGTGCCTGGCCCAGAGTAAAAGCTATTTAACTATTAACTATTAATGTTAGTTACTGTTATTATTATTATTATTATTATTATTATTGCTGTTACTATTTTTGTTATATGAAAATAGAATAAATAATAATCCCTAAGCTTAACACAATTATTTCTCAAACTAGGTACAGGATGGGTCACGAATTCAGAAAAGTCCCCCTCTGGCTGGTGAGAAGCCTGACATAAAGGGAGCTTTCTTTTCTATTCAGGGAGCGAAGATGCCAAAAGTTTTTCATATTAAATATTTGTATTATCTTTGATTCAGGTTTCTGCATATGTGAAGTTTTCTCTTTTTTTTTTTTTATAAGAAAATGCTCTTAGTGCTAATAACATTTATGTTTATCCATAAAGAGTACTTCAACTTTAAGAATTAAACTAAAAATTTTAGTATTAGACAATCAATAAATTTATTATCCAGTAACTTTCAAAACTGGAAAATGTGTTTCTTTAATATTTAGTATGGATTAATTGGTTATATTAGTTCATTTTCAACATGGCCCTCTAAAATGTCACTTAATCTTTTAAAAATGTTGCCTTTATTTCTATAATATATAAAAAACATGAAATATATTACACTTATAATGCATGAAAACAAGTAACATACCTTTTTAAAATTTTTAATGTACTTAAGTTTTAAAATTTGGTCATGAATTCTGGCAAGATGAATTGAGCAAATCGCATTCTTAATATTTCAATTCAAAAAGCCTAAAGGGAAGAAGAGAATAATGGCCAACTGGAAATTTAGTGTTATCCCTACATTTAAAGTACAAACCATTACAATGTAATAAAATTAATCCAGACATTTCCAGGGCAAGTGTGGCTGAGTTGTATTTTTGAAGTGGTTGTTTGCGGCAGCAGTCTCCGGTGTTTACCTATGCCGCCATCTTGGTCTCTCCCTATTAGTTCATTTTCAACATGGCCCTCTAAAATGTCACCTAATCTTTTAAAAATGTTGCCTTTATTTCTATAATATATAAAAAACATGAAATATATTACACTTATAATGCATGAAAACAAGTAACATACCTTTTTAAAATTTTTAATGTACTTAAGTTTTAAAATTTGGTCATGAATTCTGGCAAGATGAATTGAGCAAATCGCATTCTTAATATTTCAATTCAAAAAGCCTAAAGGGAAGAAGAGAATAATGGCCAACTGGAAATTTAGTGTTATCCCTACATTTAAAGTACAAACCATTACAATGTAATAAAATTAATCCAGACATTTCCAGGGCAAGTGTGGCTGACCTTTTGTTCACCAACCACTGACCCCAGGGTGAATGCAAGAGGCTTGTGGAGGGAAAGTCTGTTTGTTTGGCTTCAGTCCCTGGTATTTAAATTGCATTCCCTAATCAAATGAAAAGGCTGTCCTCTCTATCAGGTTACAGAATCCATGGCAACATTTGGCCTTTTATATCCATAATGTTAGCCTTTTTGTTTGCATCTAAGTAGAGACACCTGGAGCAATGTTAACATTAACCGATTTAGCATTAATAGCTTCATTATATAAGAATTTCTGATCAGATAGCTGTTACTTTTGTTATATTGCTTCAGCTTGTATTATTGTCATTTTTTATCTCCCTGCTTGGCAACCAGGCAATGATTTGCAAATTTTTTTTGTCTTGATTAATTAAGCAATATAATTATCAGTAACCGTGATGCAGTCTTTGCTCAACAAAGCTTCTGGGAGAAAACAATGGTCAGTCTGTTAGTGTGAATGCATTCCACGCGTCCCAGATGCATGAGGATATTACGGACAATGAGGGGAAAGGCCGCCTGTGAGCGAGGACAAAGGGTGCCACGCAGACTCGACACACTGCACATACCGCCAGGGACATGCTGCGGGCTCCCTGGGACACAGACGTCTCGTTAGATTACAGCTAGTCAGCAGAGATTAATTCTCAGCCATTTGGTGCAATAATTTACCCATTCCCTAGTCTTTTAACTTGTGCTCCTTACTATGAAAGTGAAGGCTTTGTGCTCAGAAGGTTTATTTATTTAACCTTGCCAACATTTAGGGATCTCCACCAAAAATCATTATTTTTGCTTAGAAATTGTAATGATGCAGCTGCTGAAAGTTGAGGAATATTCCTTTTGGGAGGATGGGATATGTACACATTTCAAAAATTCTAGGTAGAGTCAAAGCCATTCTTTCAGCACCTGTATATTTCATCTGAATATAGTGTGACTCAGTGGTCTAAGTGCCTTTATTTGACTGGTCTCTGGGAAGCCATACTTCTCTCTAAAAATAATTTTAGTCCTTTTTTTAGGAGGAAAAGAAATCTCATCAGTACACAAAAGTCCTGCTCATTGGACAGAGTCATGCATATTCAAAATTGTACCCTTATTCATTCGGCCTCATTAATAGTGTATGTAATAATGTAGGGCTATTTGTAATACAAGCTCACAGACAGCATTGCTTTCAAGTCCTTTGAAATTTAACATATTTTGCTTTTTCATTCCATACACTTCCCTTAAATATACAAATTATGTGTCTGGCAGAATCCACCACCTCTTACACAGCATTTTCGAAATGGTATGCTGAAGAAGTATGGGTGTGCTTACATTGAGCATATAAAACCCTCACGCATAAAAGGACCTGCTCACTTCTTGAGCTTTTTATTAAAGTTTTTAAAGAAGAAATAAATAAATAAAAATCAGTGTGCTTAGCAGCATCATTTCACTGTGAAATTACTTTCAGAGTAAGTTCATCTCCACAAATATCGACACAGTAGTCTTTGTTTACAGAAAAGAAATGTGCTATTGTCAGACTTCTGTTTTTTTCTACTTTCATTACTAAGTCGGCAGTCGGGGAAGACTTGCATATGAGTGATTTAAAGGGCTTGTTAAAATGTCCAATTTGTTCTGCAGAAAGGTGATTCATAAAGCTCCCACATTGCAGTCAGTACCCGTATTGCTTTCCTTCTTCCAGTAAGTGACAGTAATATTGATGTTCAGAACACTTATTTTTATGAATTTGTGAAAGTAAGTTTTAGTGCTTTGGGCATGTTTATCTCCAAGCACATTAGTGACTGTCTGGTGACTGTCTGACCAAAGGGTGGCATGCTGAGGCAGCCTAGCCTGGGAGCAGCTGAAAAAAGAGGAAGCTTGTGAGGGATTCTCCCGATCACCTCAACCAGAGTGTCAGTGTTGTAATTGAAAAACAAAGTAGCATGTCCTCCACATGCTACTTTACTCAGCCCTGGTAGATGTGGGCATGGGAGAAATAGGGAGGGTGATGGAATCATTTCTCAGAAGTATAGGCAGGAAAGAGTCATCATTTTAAACTTTAGGAGATGGGATCCCAAAGTACCAGCTCCAATGCTGCCACAAGTGGGTGGGCATCTGGGGCAGACCTCTCAATTTCTTTGGACCTCAGCTTCCTGTCACATTCAGGTTGGGTTCCAAATTCTCTTTACAGTCCTTTCAGGGTCCTAAGTGCCCCTTCAAGGCTGGATGCTCTCATTCCTAAATGCCCATCTTTTCCTAAGTTGTCCCAACCCACCAGGCTGCTTGCAGACTGGAGTGAGTGTGTGTATGTGTCCCTCTTCAGGAAGAGAGCTAGCCCAGGGCCTTCACCTGGAACAAGTGCCCAGAAATGCTGGGTAAGATGAATTAATGCACCAGAAATCACAAGACCTTTTGCACCTGTGAGGCCAAGAGGAGCCAGTGTTGGTACTTGGGTTTGAAAGAAAATCTTTGACTAGTGTGGCTTCATTATATAGGGAGTGTGTTTGACTACAACAAGCATGTCAAACTCAAAGATTAACATGGGTCAGATAAACAAGGTTTAAGTTTCTGTGGGCCCCCAAAAAAACAAAAGCTTCAATTTTCATAGAAACATAGGTTTATTTTGATAGAGACATGCTGAATACAAAGGGCTGAAGTAAATGAGTAACCGTTATCATAAAATAATAGAACATTTTAATAAAATTAATATTTTTTTCTTGAACATTAGCTTACATAAAATTAATTT